TCTTTCCCTCTTTCTCGCGCCGTCGCGATTTTCCGCCGCGCGACGATTTCGGGGTCTATCCACGAGCCTTTATCGATCGTAGATGTCTCCCGACCGTGCTGCGGTCGGTCCATCGGCTCGATTCACTCGCGTTAACAGCGCTCCAACCTGGCAACACGCGTCTGTCTTTCTCTCTCTCTCTCTCTCTTTATCTCTTTTCCACGCCGTCTTTCTCTGACGCGCATTACCAAGCGAGGCTTCCTTCCGTGCTGATTATCTATCGCAGCTGCGTGAAAACCGTTATGGAATAATCATGCGTCGCCGATTACGAAACGTCGTAAAGGGTCGTTGTGATCGACAGGTGTGCCATTATAAAAACACGAGGAAAGAAAAAGAAAAGAAACAGTTGCGCTTTTTGTTTCTTCGTTTCATTACAGCTACAGAGTTAAAAACTTTTCACGAGCGCGTATTTATACATATCTTTCTGTCAAAAACCGAGCGCTTGTCAAAGATGTTTGTTGATTTTTCGAAAAGTCCCAATCCTTATATTGTATCAATATATATGAACCGTCAGATTAAGCTATTGTCAGGCCTGTTGTAAGAAAGTTTATTAAGAAACATCCATCACTAAAGAACTAAAAATTTTATTAATCACAAGTTAAGATTGAAAAAAACATAAAAATAATGAAATAATTTATAAAATATCATGTACGCATAAACGTTTAAAATGACGATGCTTGTAAATCTGGTAATTAATTATCTATCTTTTACATTTTTTACTAACAATTAATACAAACAAATAGGATAGAAGAAATTGAGCAAAGCGTTGACGATTCGATTTTCGCGCGAACGGACTAAACCTTAAAGATCTATTCACATACCAGGCATACATGCGTAGTCAGTGAACTCTGATTGGTCGATTGTGATTTATGCAAGTCTATTGGATAGATCCTCTCATTTTAAAACACCTTGCTCAATTTTACTATAGGACGCGCAAACGAGGCGTGTCGCTATTCCTCGAAGTCCTTCTCTTATCTCACGAAAATATTTCCGCGCCTGCTCCCACATTCGACGGATTAATTCAAACTTGCGTGTACCTGGTAATTGGCGGCAATCTGTAAATAACGAGCGATAAAACAAGCGATCTGTTAGGATGGAAAGCGAGAGATATTTACCATCCGATCGTAAATTGGAGACTTATCTAATGCACAGCATCATCCTCTTCATCATTTTTATCATTCCCGTTGCGTATAAAGCGAAGAAAGACGGAGTGATAACGTCGTTAATAGCGACGTGTCTCGTTACGTCAGTATTCCTTGTGATTTTTCTATTTTGCGACCTAATACTGCGTCTGTGTCAAACGCTGATGTCGTTGACAAACATGGATTCGCAGCACGGACGAAGTTTCTCGTCGGTGGTAAGTCATCATTTCACCCTGAACACCGCATCGGCAGCGGTCTTTGTCATCGGCGTGTTTTTATTTCTGATTGCATCAACAATGATTGTTCGAGGATGCCCGTTACATCATGTATGGGATTTCGGTCCCTACTTCTGTGTGCCGTTGATGATTTTTTCCTTCTACTTGCTGAGAGTAACTGATCTGGCCGAATGGGAGAGGCTTCCCGATCTAGGCACCATGAAAGGTCTGGATTATGGCACGGGTATGGCCTACAGCTTCTACTACGGTTACCTGCGATTGATTCTACCGAATCGCGGCACCACCGATAGTAAGGGCATTATCGAAAAGATTGAAAATTTCGAAGACAAGCACGATGTAACTTTCCCGGTGCACAAGCTGTTCATCTTGATATCGTCGTCGGGGTATATGCCGCCAAACTTAAAGGAGGTGTCAATTGATAAAGAGGCTCAATGGATGGAGAATGCGCACGAATTGGAAGAGGAGAAACGCGATCGTGCTGGTACAATAGGAAGAACATATCACAACAACGCTTACAAGATATATCCCAATGGAAGAAACTCTGGTGCTAGTCCAGTATACATAGTGGCGGAAGGTGCAACACCGTTGCTGACATTCTACGAAGTACAAAAGCACAGTCATCCAGAGTCTATTATGTACAAGCAATATAAAAATGACATTACCATGATGTTTTATAAGAAACTACGAGAAATTTTGCAAAGCGAACCAAGTACAAGAAACTTGTGCGAATTAATTTATTACAATGATTACGATTCGGATGGAGCTAAAGTTAATGTTGCAAAGGTAATTTTACAAAGAATATCTGAAATAACAAATTCCGCATAAGTTCCACATTGAAACAAGTTGAACATATGTCTTGTTCTTTGTTTGTGATAAATTTTATATGAGATTATATTAAATTATATATATATTTGTGTTACTTGTGCATTGGTGCCAAAGATTGTATTATATTATCTAAGGAGAGAACTAACTTTATAACGGCCTTTTCCTTTTAGTATAAAGAGTAACATCCAATTGATCAAATTTGTTGCAAATATATATGACATGCAACATGTTGCGCAACTTACGACAATCAGTTTTTACAATTTTATTTTTACAAATAACATATCCTTGCTTCTTTTCGTATTCTGCATTTTGAAGACATTAATGAAAAATATGTAATTGAAAAATTATAACTTTTAAGATATATTTATATAATAATTTTCTTTTATAAACTGGGATTACGAAAGTCCAAAATACATAACACACAATTTTTTTTCTATATAATTAAAAATAAGAATTTCATTATATGATTTTATTCCTATAGTATTAATTTTTATACATACATGCGATTTGATTAAATTGGAATAAAATCATTGTACAATATATATTTTTACTCAAAAATACAATTACAATAATCTTAATTGCTATACAAGTGATTTAATTTTTATATTTTATATACTTATTGAAGATCTTTTTATAATGTATAAAAAATAATAGTAAAATATGTATATCTATGTATAAAATGTGTCATTTATTCACAGATACAAATTTCTTAAGAAATAGATTACAAAGCATCCCATCGGCAATTCTGAAAGGAAGACTTAGTGACCGTTAATACATATGCATTGTACAATTAGTATCTCCATGTCCACAGTCGTGCTTCTTATATGTAAATATACATATTATATCGGATAAAAATTAGTATTGAGAATGAAATAATTTGCAATATATATAAAACATTTGCTGTTTTATCAAAGAACAAAAATTCATACTTTTTAATAAGGCCATTGGCAAAAGGCACAGAATTGAAGCATGTTAGCCATACTCTTGCTCTTATCATCTGAGTAAATTGACAGTATTCTCGAGTATGGCTACGAACACATTTAAATCGTTATAGTAAACGATTGGCAGATTATCTTTATTACATGTCCATTTCAAACTGTTCTGCAGATTCCTCGATTACCAGAACATCTGTAAAAAATTATATAAATGTGAGAAAAAAAATCCTCATCACATACAATATCATTAATATAAAATGAATCATAATTTTACTAGAAAAAAATTAGTTTTTAACTTCAATAGAAATCAATCGAAAGTCCCTAAGATAAATAAGACTATACACGTCATATATATAATTTTATTTTGAAATAAAATTCCAATCTATTTAATTTTTTTTATTTAAAAAAAATTCTTAAAAATTTAGTGATAGAATCGAATCGTGAATTTGAAGCAAACTGACCTTTATCGGAATTTTTAGCAGGATCCCTTGTGATTGCTGGTGTACTGCCTTTCAGCAATTCTGACGGTATACTCAACGTATTTCGCGGCGGTGTTCGCGATATCGGAGAGTTTCGCAAGTTCATCAAAAACGCGCGTTCGTATACGATGCGCGTACCTGCGTAGAATTCATAGAGTTATATATAATTATACGTTGAATATCCGATCCTACAATAGAGATGATTCTACTCAAGAATTTGTGATAAAGTTATTTTCTCAGGTAAATTTAATAATGAAATTAAATTTTCATTATGCGGAAATATACGTAAAATAATTTCAATGGAAATAGCTAGAAATATGTATAATACAAAAGCTATGTGAATCACTATTTGTCACAATACAATTCATATTTGTATTCGTTGTATATATGTCTTAAGATTTGAAATTACTCATGATTTATCAAGAATTATCTGATAAAATTGCAACATATTAATCATTAGAGATGAAGTACAAGTCAATTTTATCACAAGCTTATTGTATAATGTCAGTTTTTCAATTCAACACAATTAAGATTACAGAAAAAAAAAAATTTCAGTTATCCTTAATGCTTTAAAGAATAATCCTATTTTCAGAAAGAACGCGAATCAAATGAATGAGAAATGAAACAATAAACTGATTTTTAAGAACAATTCCATTAGCAAAAGAATGATGACACCCAGGAACAATACAATGGCTAGACAGTTACATGGAAAGCGTCGCATACAGTGCCTATTAATACAAGTATATTTCTGTACCGACACCTACCTAACTTGAAAGGAGTGCAAGGATCGGCAAGATTGCCAAGATAAACATAATCGCAAAAGCATAAGCACGAAAATATATATGTGAAATAAAGTCAACAGCCTGCTATCTTTATCGAGATAATTTCTTTGTATAGATCGTCTACATCTTAATCTGCACACATGTATAATACACAAGTTTTCTATAACTGGTTGACCTATTTTTATTCAAATAATTTTCATTTCTAATAATACGAAATAAAAAATCACATATTTGTACTTTCATAAAAAAAAACTTCAATAAAACAATTATTTTGCACAAAATTCTCAAAGACAGAAATCTTTTAAATTCATATAAAACTATATAAATAAATATACTATATAAAATATATAAAACAAAAGAAAACGTGCAACATGATCCTTCATTAAATTTTTTACGATTAAAACAATTTCTTTCCTACTTGGCAAAAAATTATTTGGATAACGATAGCGCAAAATAATTTAAAAAGAAATGTATGCAATTTTGCAATGATTCAACAAGAATACGCGCTCATTTGCAAAATAGACGAGATTGTGTAACAATTGTTGTTATTTACACGTAGAGACATGTTACGTGAAATTTATTTACATTTACACGTATGTTCATCGGGCACAGAATACCATATGTCGCGCGTTCAAGCTAAAGTTATTGCAAAGATCCAGCAGCGTACATTTGTTTTTCAAGGCACCGTGACTTTTAGTTTGCCGCGTCGGCGTCGCGTGGTGATAAACATTACGCGTCACCGATTACGCATCGCATGATGTTCGGTCGCGCACATTAATTCGGCCTTGGTCGTTTAGGTCAGCTGGAAATGTTGTGGAACGTGCAAGATGTGTAAAGGGCACGTGGCCTGGCTTACTGACGAGTATAATACATATTTTTGCTTATTAAAAATTAAAATTGCATGCCCCTTCTCGACACTTCCGTAAAAAAAAAAAGAGTCGATACAAAATTTATCAGAAAAAAACGCGGACTTTTTTTTTCAATTCTTATATTTTTTTTTTCGTTCTTTTTTCTAGACGAATATATTCACGCTCCGGTTCGCATTGTCGACTCCTCTCTGTCTTCTTTTTAATCGAAAAATGACGCGTATTTAAAGAAACATAAATAAAAACGCAATAAGTTATCATTTAAAAAACATAATAGATCTTTATCTAACGCATTATTTCTCTGACTTGCATATCTGTTATTAATATCACAAATTCGTATGTGTGTGTAATGTTATGGATGTAAAATTTATACGACGCATTTTTTAAAAATTTTCCGTATAGACGAAAGATCAAACAAACCCCCCGAAATACGCAATTATATAATGTATGCTTATCAAGTAGAGTGTGTATGCGTGCGAGAGAGAAATCCCGCGTCGCGCCGGCTGGTAACACGTAAATATCAACGGCCTTGATACTTGCACGTGTTGCATTTGTTTATCGAGGTCGCATTGACTTCCAAACGATATCTTAGAGTCGACGTCTTCGCGTCTTCTGATATGCACGAAACGTCGCAATAGGCTTATCTTTTTTTTTTTTTTTTTTGAGAATCTTCACATATGTGCGAAACGTCGAGCATGCGAGTTTCTAAAAAAAAAAAATGCGAGAAATTCTCGTGTCTCTCAATATTTATTTTATCTGCCAATTGCGGGAAACACATCGCGACAGATGTTTCTTTAGGCGAAACTTTCACATCGTAATATTTGACATTTCTTTGTCAAATATTCCTCTTAAAAATTCCTCCTCAAGAGTTACATTAGAAAAAACAAAGTGCGCGATATAATCGGGAGACGAGAATAAATTCGGAGATGGAATAAATAAAAAATTATTTTCCGCGACTCTCTTCGAAATATATCGCGCCAATCGAGAATCTCGGATTTATTCGAATTCGAATCGAACGATTCAATATTCGTCTACGTGACTTTTACGTTCTCGCGATTACACGAGAAGGATGATTATTGTATTCATACGACCAAATTTTTGTCGGGATATATCGATTTTTTGACTATTGAATAGAAAATTCTTAGAATCTCGATAGGGGGTTCCATTTTCTTTCTTTCTTTCTATAGAAATCCCACTCCGAGGATATTTCAATGTGACCATAATTTCATGGTCAGAAGCAGAGTTAAAAAAAGAATCAACCTAACGGAGAATGAATAAAGGATGCACTGACCTCCCGGTGTCGTGGAATAAAGAGTTCCTCCGGGAGTAGACGAGCAATCCGCAGGTAACTGATTAGGATCGTGGATGACGATCCTCTTAGACGGTATGCTCTGGCTCTGGGTAGCCTGTCTGGCGATGGGAGAAGCCGACATTTCGTATAGCGTCTCTTGCCTCGTATTTTTTTCTTCCGCTTTGATCTCCGGAATGACTCCTCTTGCGTGTTTTAATCACGTCTGTCGAAAACAAAGGCGAGGTCGACAATGTTTCCAAATTGATCTCCCGATTGGTTGCTTATTAGAGATAAGCGGCACCCGCTGCGCAGTTACGTATATATATACAAGACAAAAATATGACCATGTGATTGATGGCAAATTATGTATAATCGTACCGATATCGTGAATATCTACCGTATTCGTCGAGATCGTCCGGCTTCTTATGCACCGAGTTGCGCGTCTCTCGACTGATCTACACGCGAGCTTAATTGAAAATCTAACTCACGACTCACGATCGCGGTAAAGCTTTATTGCGGTCTCAGCGCGACATAACCTACGAAACGAGCAGCGAGGAACGCGTCGACTCGTCTCGTGCAAAGTGCCGCGAAATTCGATGAGCCAGTACTTGCTTATATAAGCCTTCCCACCTCTTCCACGGCATTTCGGAGGGATGTGGAAACAGTGTGGCCAACCTCGCGAAAGAACTCACTAACCTCTATAACATATTGGAGCCAATAGAGATCCACCTAGAGATATAGGGTGCTTTCTAGTAAGAAACGCATATAAACACAATGTCATATGATTGGCTGTGAAATAGAAAAATTTTCAAGACTTTAAAAATTCTCTATTTGATAGCCAATTGCGTGACATTGCGTCTCTCTGGGTCTCCTTGTTGTTCTATCTTTGTATTTACCGAACGTTGAACAAGGACAGAGCACACGCATAGCGTGTATTCAAGTAGTATAGAAATCACTGATGGTAGATGTATCAATTTACGTTATGATTATATATATTTATGTATACGCGGGTCCATATATCTTTTGCGCTTGAATAAAAAACGTGGACAATTTTGTATACAATTACATTTGTGCATAGGATTTGTAAAAGTTTTCTTTCTGTGAAGCACGTGTATAATTTCGAGATGAATCCCTCAGAGCCGAGCAGTACCGAAACTCTCAGGTACAATGAGTTCACATTGGATGATACTGAAACAAGGTTATATGCCGGTTTATTTTTGACAGATCAAAATTTTACGCGTACTTTGTCTATGATATTGATGCTATTGATCTCACACAATGTTTGCATGTCACAAACATTATTAGTTACGCTTATCGTTTCTTTCCAGCTCTAAGATGAAGGATGTAATCGATGTTCTGGCGATGCAACGCGAAAAAAGAAATACGTTGCAAAAAAGTATTACAATCGATTATACCAAATCTAGCGACAGTTTTACAGTTTCACGATTTATCTTTGAATGTGGTACGTTAACTGTGGTATCTTATAGATGCTCCATACAAGTTGTCGCATTTTTAAGCTATAATACAACAAAAGATTTCTTTGGTTGTAGGCTTAAAATTAGAAGCTCATCCATTAACAATAGCTACCGCTGCAACGTTATATCATAGATTTATAAAAGAAGCAACATTGCAGGGATATGACAATTATGTAAGCATAAATAATATTAAGTTTTTAACAAATATGATAAGCCTCGTCTCTTTTAGTTAATAGCTTCAACTTGTCTTTATCTGGCCGGTAAAGTGAAGGACGATACATTAAAGATAAGAGACATAATGAATGTATCGTACAATACACTTCACAGAGGATCTCAACCGCTGGATCTTGGAGATCAATATTGGAGTATGAGAGATGCGATTGTTCAAGCTGAACTTTTGATTATGAGGATGCTTAAATTTCAAGTCACGCCTGTACATCCACACAAGGTACAAGCATTACTAATTGTATAATATTAATGTATATGTGTGATATACATATGTATAGTTTACATGTATTATTACAGTACATGCTTCATTATCTACGATCATTACAAGCCTGGTTTGGCGAAGAGGAATGGTCCAAATATCCAGTTGCCAAAACTAGTATGGCATTGCTGCAAGACTTTCATCATTCCCCAGCTATTCTCGATTATCCACCGAGTTTAATAGCGATAGCTTGTATTAATCTGTCATTACAAATTTATGGGGTGGTTGTACCTCTGATGGACGAGTGCGATCAACAGCCATGGTTCAATGTAAGTGTATGTGTATATAGTATTCTTGTATTAATTTATATCTCTGTTAGTTACTAACGTGATTTGATTGTGTGAATTATTTCATGCAACAGGTTTTCTGCAAAGATTTAGCCAGAGATAAGCTATGGGAAATTATGGAAAAAGTTATGGCAGCATATGACGAAGAACCTGAAACGAGAGATAACTGATAAGTGTAAATTTGTATCTTGCATCGCAGTAATAAAATATTTCCCCTGTATTGAAAGCTGCCGCAGTTATATCGTAAAGGCTTTTTAATGACGAAATTACATTTTATGAAGTTGTATGTGTTTTTTTTTTTTTTCCAGTTGTCAGGATCCATACAGCTTAGTATTTTAGAGTATAAGCTCTATGTTGGGACTAAACAATGTCCTTGTGAAGTTTTTCTATCGTCATCGTTTTCATTCTCTTATTCTAAGGATGACATTTATTGTCATACAAAACACCACATATATTTCGGTAGTATGCAATCATAAAAGATACTTGCTCTTGCAGAAATCACTGCAGAGCCCGATGGACATTAATCCACGTACATATATCGGTCAACAGAGACCCTGAGCACCAGATGCTCGTCAGAACTGTCTTCTTCTTCTTCTTTCTTTTATGGCTGGTTGGGCATTAGTCGCCCATACACCATTGTTTCTTATGGGTTTGTAGAATATAAGCAAAACTCTAAGAGAGGAGGGAGTCCAAAAAAAGGTCCAGACAAAGGACATACGCAGCACGCAAAAACACGTCCGAACCCGACACGTTGTCAGTCGGAACTTAAGAAGACTTTTGCTCGTCAGAACTGATACTTTTTCCTCGGGAATACACAGGAACAAGATGATGGACTTTTTGCCCGCTTCTCCGCTAAGTGTCGGTCTACAATAGTGATTTAAGCTCTAAGCCTTAAGAAATTGACCAATCACGATCAAGTATGAGGAGAATACTCGACTGTGATTAGTCAATTTCTTAAGGCTTAGAGCTTAAATCACTATTGTAGACCGGCACTAACTCAAAAATCAACCCTTCAAAAATCAACTCCTCTGATATCTCACTAGATATCTTAGGTCGTGTTTCAAAATTCACTGCCAGTACTGGAAATCTATAATATACGTTACGTGAACTATAGATGTTCAATATTGGCAGTTAATTTCGGAACACGGCCAGTACATATATACATATATAGGATATCTTGTATAAGTATTGGCAGGTATCAGCATTCACCGCGCCACCTAGCTTGGCACACACATTGTTCCCTTTTCATGAAAAGTCGTAAAGATAAAAATCGCAACCGTCAAGTGTTTCGATTTACATTATACATATGTAACAGCACGGTAGAGGTAACGCACGGACGTCGATCTTTTTAGTGTAGTAAGTATATTATTCGTCAAACTCTATTTTTTTTTTCGCGAACACCTGGTTCACTCTTTCGAAAAACATGCGTCCAGTGACGTTTCTCTTCACGTCTCTTTTATATACTATGAATTTTCTATTATGATGTGACAAGTGGAAGATGCGTGTGCGTATGTGCGAAAGAGGTGTCGTTTATGGTGGTTCGATCATTCAGTAATTATTCTGTACGATAATAACGTTTCCACATCGCGTACAGTGCATATACAGTGACGATCGAATGTCACGAGCAGTGATTATATATCTATTACATTCTCCGTCAAATTATTAATTGTAAGTATCTCGCATACACGTAGAGTGTGCCAAAAGTAATAGTTCTTTGCGAAAAGTATACGACATTTGCTTCCAATATGACAGCAAGGTGGTTGTAATGTCGATCTTTCACACCCTCTGAAATATATTCAATAAGTTTCCAATTTAACAGAATGTAATATACAAATGTATCTTAAAAGGACAAATAATCACTTACTTGTCTGGTGTTATTGCTTATGAAAACTTAAATAAAATTTTGTAAAAGAATATATTTTTTCAAGAAGAGTACATGATACATGGAATCGGTACATACCTTATTACAGGAATGTCTCAAATTACGGTTACATCAAGTGGGATGGAACGCAGCATACATGAGATGTTAAAAGATGCGCCTTCCTTGAATGAGAGTGACAACGCTGTACATACCGGGACTCCTCCACCTCATGTACCAAATAACTGTAGCAGTGATAGTCACCCGAGGCCAGCAACTATAAATTTGAACTTAGGAAGTCCTACAAATCAGACTTGTATATATCAATGCTTTCTTGCATGTTTATCGATGAATAAAATTTCAGAGATTTTAAAATTGGAGTGAAAAGATGTCTGTCTTTTTTCAGCTGTATCAGTTTCCCCAAATACACCTATTCAAAATGGTGATACACAAACTATGCGCACTACTCAAAGCAAAATTGAGAGTCTAAAGAATTGGAGTATCTCCACGTATAAATGCACCAAACAGTTAATGTACGAAAGATTAGGGAAAACGTCTCGTACTGTAGACTTTGGTGAGTTCGCCTATATAAGAAAATAATTTTAACAAATTATTTTCAGTGTCGTTTGATGAACATAAACATTCTTTTTTTTATATTTCAGAACTTGAGACACAGATTGAATTGCTCAGAGATACTCAGAGAAAATATTGCAATGTTCTGCGATTATCACGAGCTTTGGCATCACACTTTCATCATGTTGTTCAGACACAACATGCCCTTGGAGAGGCGTTTTCTGAATTAGCACAGAAATCGCCTGAGCTCCAAGAGGAGTTTCTGTATAATTCGGAAACGCAGAGAAATTTAACTAAAAATGGCGAAACACTTCTAGGGGCCTTAAATTTCTTCGTTTCCTCTGTGAATACCTTGTGTAATAAAACGATCGAAGACACGCTACTTACAGTGAGACAATACGAAACTGCAAGGTATACAAATTCTGTTCCATATCTGTTCCATAAATTCTGTATCCACTTTAATATGTTATACCATTTCTCGTGATATTATTATAATGTAATAACTTTCTATAGGATAGAGTACGATGCATATAGAACAGATCTAGAGGCTCTTGTGCAAGCTACAAAATCAGATGGTAGTAATGCAGCAAGATTAGAAGAGGCACAGGCTAATTATGAAGGACATAAGCAGAATTTCGAAAAATTGCGCTCAGATGTTTCTATCAAGTTAAAGTTCTTAGACGAAAACCGGGTACGCTTTTTTAATCCTTTTAAAAATCGGCAATCAATTGACTCTGACATCTTGTAATAATGTATATTTCAGATTAAAGTCATGCACAAACAATTGCTGTTATTCCATAATGCTATATCTGCATACTTTTCGGGGAATCAAACTGCATTGGAGGCAACTCTCAAACAATTCAACATCAAGGTGAAATCACCAAATTCTACCTTACCTTCATGGTTGGAACAGTAGTTGAATTAAAGTGACCCTTCCTCTTGCCGCGAAGGATGTGACTGTACAAGCGCGTTCGTCCACCGAGTTCTGTTGCGAAACACAGAAAGTAAAGGTAGAACAGTTATCAAAATCACTTGACAATTCGCCGGTACGTATTGAAAGCTGCCGTTTAGTCTGATAATTTAAATAATGTAGAGTGAAAAATTGCGAGGTTTATGATGTGTATAAACAGACTGAATCCCCAAAAGTTACAGTGTAATATTTTGATCATTATATATTGATTATATATATTATATATAATACCTTTGACATACACATCATGTATCATAAAATTAATAATTCTTTTAAGAAAATTACAAATCAGTAGAGGAATTTCAAAACAACTTATACAACAATGTCTTGACAATTAAGTTCCGATGCTTAAACATTTAAAGAGGCAATAGATTTAATTTTTATATTTCTCTTATAGAGGAAATTAAATTTTCCTTCAATGTAAATACGTAACATGACATATATGTGTGGATAAATGGAGCCTTCTATTTTACAGTATATTAGTGATATTAATTGATTGTTTATATCACATTTTACACACGCATAATATGCATGTAGTTTAATAGTATGTCCACTATCTCAAAAGACTAATCTTTAAATTACAGATCATGTATTATTTCATAAAAGCTTGAGCTTTAAAGCTATGACACTGTTAAACTTAAACTTATTTTCTATATATAACAACATAATTACTTAAATTATTACAAATTAATTTGTTGAAAGCAAGAAAATGATTGGATGGACTGAAAATTTCAGTAGAATGTTAGAGACTTGCATTAATTACATGCCAAAGAAATTTTAATATCAATATGTTTTCTTATTGCATCACATTTTACTGCAATTATTATACTGTGGTATTATCAGAAACTAAAAGTATTATAGATCTGTAACTACATACAATAATCAAAATAAATTACAGATATGAATAACATCCACTGATTTGATTGAGTGCTATTTTCTAAAGAATCATAGACATATATATTAATTTATTTATTAGTTTCTCAAAATTAATAATGCATATAATTCTGCTTTATGCAAATAGTTGCATAAATGATAAAAATTTCTCATTTTCTCTGGATGAGTAGTGAAGATTATGTTGTGATTAGAAATGTATATTTATTTTTTGTTAAATAAAAAAATTTTTGTTACGGTTAATATATATATAATATAAAAGTAAATCTTTATTTCTTCTACAAATAAATCGTAAGAAATACCATAAACAATGGCATATTTATAATAATTATATAATAATTGTAGAAAAAAATTGAGTTTCTCTTTTCAAAAATTTCCATATTGAATTAATTTCTATTTAAAAATTGATATTTAAAAATTTAAATTTTAAATAAAATGTTGCAAAGGAATGCTAGTCATTTTCTTACTTAAGTATCTATTTAAAAATTATATATAAAATAAATAATATAATTTTGTATTGAGATAAGTTTAATTGCTTGCGCTTGTACTCTATAGTACGCAACATGATGTGTAATGCACTACACACATACACACACAAACAATTTATGGTTTCCAGAGATCCTGGAAACTTTTTAAAAATATTTTGTAGTAAAAAGTAATTTTTCCAATAATGATCATTTATTACTTGTCATGATAGTGATTACCATTGCAACTAGTTGCAATTAATGAACAAATAAAAAATCTAGTTAATAGAGTGATATAATATTATAAAGGTGTTATATATGCCACGAGATTGCGAAGATGACTCTTCCAACATGTACATGATATTTAGTAAATATTTCACATGTGTGTATGGTGAATGTATACAAAAAGTAAAGATGTATCAGTCTTGCAGATTTCTTATATATTTCACGCTTGCATCTGTTATCCAGGGAATGATAGCGCTATAATATGGAATATTTCATAACTCTGGCCTTCAATGTGTACAACTGCTATACTCATATCTGTATATCTTCTTTACAGATTATGACTTAAAATATGTAACACCTTCTCTTCTAGTTTATATAATTTTGCTACATAGCTAAGATTTTGCATTCCAGGGTATAATTAAAGTTAGGTAAATATTTTATCTGCTAAGATCTGATCTCTTTTTTTAATCAGCGCTATATGACAAAAATGTTAATTTTTGTTAAATTAAGTATATATATATAATTCTTAAACATTTTATTATTTATAAAATATATAATAGCTAAAATATTATGTTCCTAAATATGATGTTATTGTGTGTGTATATTATGTGTATACAGATCTCTTAACAATAAATGAATGCTTATACTTGCTTCCTTCTTACATCCGTCATAAAATGTATTTATATATAAAAATGTTCAAGGCATATATATATATTAATCAACATCTATTATATCAATCTATCAAATAGATTAACTTTTACGATGATTAACATGGGGTATTTGTGGGTAGAGAGAATGAAATATTATAAAACTTTTTGCTTAAATAATTATATACAAATAAACAATATACAGGAGGAAATACAAATACATAGAATGTATTTTCTCCTTGATTATCCTGTGTATATACATATGTAATGTTTTAAAATATTATTATATACATATATTTATATGTACTCGACAGAGCTTTATAATTTATAATGAAACCAACTAAAGAATAGTTGGTCTGATAAATGTATCACAAATAATTAATATCAGCATCATTGTGGATTTTGTTCCACTTGCTGATTTTGTGTTTCTAATGCTGCTTGACTCGTATTTATTTCCTCCATTCTTCTACGTACCATTATAGGCTGTACTTCCATAAATATCTCCATTATTCTATGATTTGCGTGAATATATTTCTGCGCACAATTACTTACGCAAAGATCCTGCAATTTCAGAGATAAATATTCAATGGATTTATTTAATGCTGTGTATATATAACATATATATAATCATTAGCATTTATAAAAATACTCACTTCATCGGAGGTGATTTCTCGAGTAAGGAAAGTATTTGCACATTTTTTGAAACACGTCTCAGATATTTGATTGTAGAGAAGAAGAAAATCTCTGAACTACTGAAAACAGATTTACTGAAAATTTATGTGGCCTTTTTGATGCTATAATAATATCGCATATTTTTTAATAAAATAATTGTATTATAACACATGAGAAAAGATATGGTTATATCTGGTCGAACTGATAATTATATTAAATTTAAGTACATTTCTTAACTGTAACGCATCCATGTAGGCAGTTGTATATTTTCAACACTTTAAGAGTATATTATTTTCTTAAAGAATGATATTCTATAACTTCGCTATGAAATATTATTTCGATAATATGTCTCAAAAAAACGAGAGAGAACAGTTTCTCCACGCGGAGTTTATATGGTTCAGGGAATTATACATGTGTGCAGATTCTGCAGAATAATAAGAAATACCAACAATTGATAAAATTCGTGATGTTGGTAAATCATAATGTTGAAATCAATATTATCGATGATCGATATAATAAATTTCTTGACACGTCGAAATTAAATTAACGATATCTATATTACCGACCATCTTGCAAATCGCAGAAATTTGAACTCGAAAATTGGCGAAGTGACAGAAGAATATAATCAGGTGACAGGGATAGCACTTACTGATATTTCAAGAATCACACATTCAAAATAATTTCAAAAATTCCTCAAATCCTAGGTCTGCAAATTTATGAATAGCAAAAATGTAAATTCTTAAAAATGAAAACAAGTAAAAAAGATGATAATATACTCTATATTAATTCCTTTTTGCAAAGTAGTGAAATAATAATCTAAGAGTTTTCGCTCATTATGCGCTATCAACCACGCGCCTCGCGTCGCGCGCCATTCATTTGATTATCATAGATAAGATATCTCGCGAGGAGAACATTCTCTAAGTCGCCGAGATCTCCCTTTCTTTCTCCCGAAAAATGTTCAGCATGACCAAACTCCTCTTATCCGTGATTATACTGTCTGGCTTTTTGCATATGAGTAAGTAAATTTTACAAAATGATATTCTTATTATTGTAATGGAATTATAAAATAACAGAAAAAATCGCGGAATTTTTCGTCGATATTTGAATTATGCCTTGTAGCAGCATTCTTGATTATCGTCTTAACTTGTGCGTGCACGTTGATTTTTTATTGGATGTGTATAACTCGTCCTATAATTTGTCAATTACACTCAATATAGTTATTTTATTACTATTATTGTTCTCTCTTTTTTTTTTTTCAAACAAGATAGCGCGATTAATGCAAGAGAATAATTAAATATTATTTAAAATGTTCTTCAGCGAGTCACTCGAGAGAGGAATATTTATGGTGTTATGAATGCAACACTGATTTAAGACAAGGGCATAAAGGAGATTGCAATGATCCTTATACGCCTGGTGCTTTTGACCTGGTTGCCTGTCCTCGGAACGAATCTCATCAGTGCCACAAAAGTATCATATTATGTACGTAGACATTATACACATTGCATTCTAATCCGATATGAAAAATATCATTCAAATAACAAATATATTTTTAACCAGTATTATAATATCATTAATGCAATAGTTTAAGAAAAGAATTCGGTACAAAACAAAATTGAAATATTGATATAATATTGCAGATAGAAATATTTTAGTAACAGTACGAGCCTGCGTATTATCACGCCAAGTAGAAAAATACTGCGACTACGGAGATAGTTTCCCAAAATCGAGTATCGAGTGTTACTTTTGCAAGGAAAATGCCTGCAACGGTAAAGAATTATTCAATCCAACATCAAAATGGTATTTTGGATTTGTCACAATTATTTTGTCGTGGGTATTAACGTAAAAATGTGCGCAGATAATGAAATTTTATCGTAAAACTTACCGGTTATTACATTAACTTAAATTTTTATACTTATGTGTAATCATATACTAAGAATGTAACAAGTTTTGAAATGTTTGTTTTTGCTCGTGGAAACGTTTCTGTGTTCGAGAGAAGTGACATTCGAAATTCTATGAAATATAAAAAGATACTTATGGAGAAAATGTTTATCAAATATTACTATTAAATTATTAAAGTAAAACCAAAGAAAACATAATATTTGCTATATTGAGATGGAATCAATTGTCATAACTTTTCTCTCTGGTAAATGTCTTTTTAAAATATAAACAAATAATTTTATATACCTGTCAAACTCCAAAAATATAAGCGGTTTTTGATAATTGGACAAATAATACTGGCCACACCGGATGGAACATACTATAATATGGATAAGGATGCGCTTAATCATGCAATTAACTTAATGATACAATCATTTTAATGTAAGCTTAAATATGTACGTCAATGATTATCTTTGCGAGAAACGCGCGATGTAGGTAAGAAATACATATATTTCTAAATATAGAATCTTCCTATCATTTTTTTGTTGTATCTCTACAAGTGGATTTAATTTAAAATATTGGATATTAGTAAAGTGAAGTTGATACGGGGCCATGATAGATGGTATTATCACCTTCAAACATTCAAGCTCTATTTAACATAAGTCATTAATTTTTAATGTTAAAGATTTGCGGGATCCTTTTCTATATTCACTCGGAGTTTAAATATTTTAATACGCTTGACCGGAAGAGACATTTTGTTGAAGGTTAAAGAGTTTCATAATTGGAACACTAGTCGTCAAATAAGATATAGACTTTCTAGATTCACAACATCCTCCTCTGCAACAATAAACTTCACTTTATATGTAACACATGCATATTGTACATCAGACGGATGAATGAACACCGCAGAAGCGATTACCAAGGTGAACAGGTCAAATAACAAAGTGAGGTCGGTAATATTCAATAGGATCAAATGCTTTCCTGACCTTTCTTAATCAGTCGGCAGGGTACAAATTAAATGTTTCAAAAATTGTCGAGAAAAATTGTGTAGAAGTATAGAGCATGGATTTTATTTTAACAAAGTTCTCTTTTATTTTATGTGTACTTATCGCGCAGGATATTTAAAATAAAGCAAAAATTAAACAAGATAAAAATTGTGCAAATTAGAAACTTGCACATTTTGCTTCCTCATCATTTTATTTCGCTCACAAAGCTTAAGTTTCTTAAAACGGATTTTTCAATTTTAACTTTCTCATAGAGGAAGATATCTCAAAATTTACAAAAGTTACAGCGTGCACAGATATTTCTCAAAAAATTCAAAATTTTATAAAAAATGAACTCTTTCACCGATCCTTAACAAATTCAATACCAACCGTCCTTTAATAATATTCTATTCGTGTAAAAAATTTTAATCCGATAATCTCAAAATTTGCGAAAGTTAGAGTGTGTACAATGTATATTCCGTACATACATACATACATATATATATACATACGGACATTTTCTAAAAATGTGATTTTTTGACGTTTTTGAACATTCTAAACATATTGGCATAGAAAACTGGAAAAAATACTTTGAAAACAAAGCTTCCTCTATGAGGAAGCAAAAATTATTGAATCGTCACGAGTACCTAATGAGGCAAAAAAAAAAGATCAATTCTAAATGAAAAGATATAATATTAATTTAAAGGAAATGTTAAAATTCTCTTCAATATTCTGTATACTTATATCTCTGACACACAATGAAATTCGTACACTCGTTATATCTCTCATAAAAAGAAACTATATGTTACGCAAAGAGGAGAGACTTCCTAGCGATTGACAGTCAGAGAAAAAGAGACAGAAGGCGGGAGGGAGAGAAGGAGACCAAGTGCTCTTGGTAAAGAGGGTGTTGGTTCCTCAGTATCACACTGGACACGTTTGGTATCGGCAGTTTTCAAACGGTCATCTGAATCGTTCAATATCTACTACTATTTTTGAAAACGAAATTTTGTATTTGATTTTTTGTGTGATTTCAAGCAGTCGTTTCAAGCTCTATTTAACATATACTCACGCTTGCGATACCGTATATATTAAGTTGATTTTTAGATATACATGCATAGCGCATATTTTAGATGTTTTAAGATATAATCGAAAAAATGTGAATATTTTATGAGATATTTTATGTTAAAATATATAATATATAATACATATATATATTCTC